CCTCCCCCTCCCCCTCTGCCCAGCCAGTCTGCACCTTCGGCAGGCTCCTCGGCCACCATGTTTGTCAAGTACAGCACAATCACCAGGCTGCAAAACGCAGCTCAGCATTCAGGGCCCCTGTTCAAGGCTCCCCCGCCCGCGGTGATGCAGCCCCCGCCTCTGGCTTCACAGTCCCTCAAGGCGCAGATGGTGGTGCCCCCCAATGGAGTTATTCCTCCACCCCCTCCTCCACCACCACCCCCAACCCCTGGTTCAGCCATGGCCCAGTTAAAGCCAGTGCCCTGTGTCCCGTCCCTGCCCCAGTTCAGCCCCCAGCCCCCTCCGCTGAAGATTCATCAAGTCCAGCATGGTCCTCAGGTGGCCCCTCCCACACCTCCACCGGCTCCTCCCATCCCTCCAGCTGGCCCCCCTCAAGCGCCCCCTAAGCCCCTGGTGACCATTCCTCCTTCAGCCGGCACCAAAACTGTGCCGCCCACGGTGGCTCAGCCTGTACCACCCGCCCCTACACCTCCAGTGCCCCCGGCAAAGAAGCAGCCCGCTTTCCCCGTTTCTCACATGGCACCCTCTCCCCCTGTCCAGCCTGCCCCGGGTCCCCCACCAACACTGCCCAAGCAGCAGAGCTTTGGGGTGAAGCCACCGCCCTCTCCTCTGTCCCCTGTGCCCTCAGTTGTAAAGCAGATAGCCAGTCAGTTTCCACCCCCTCCCACTCCTCCTCCTGTGGACGCACAGCCCCCAAAGCCCCTCCCAGCAAGTGTCACCCCACAGTCCCCTCCTGCGGTGAAAGCAAAACCCAAATGGCAGCCCAGCTCAATCCCGGTCCCTTCCCCAGATTTCCCTCCTCCCCCTCCAGAAAGCAGCCTGGTGTTTCCTCCTCCGCCTCCTCCAGCCCCAGCCCCGGCCCCGCCACCAGCGCCGCCCATGGCTTCGCCACTCCCTGACAAAGGCGGATCTCCAGGCAAAAAGCCCAGTAAGACGTCCAGCCCTGGGGGGAAGAAACCACCCCCGACCCCGCAGCGCAACTCCAGCATGAAGTCGGGCAGTTGTGCAGAGCACCCTGAGCCCAAGCGACCCTCCGTAGACAGTCTAGTCAGCAAGTTCGCACCGCCAGCCGAGTCGGGGTCTCCCCACAAGGAGACTCCACCACCTCCGGCAGCACCCCCCAAACCTGGGAAACTACACCTGTCTGGAGTCAACCTCCCCGGAATCCACCAGCAAGGGAGTGTGTCTACAAAACCCTCCGTTCTGAGTGGCCGTGGAAAAGACTCCGTAGTGGAATTTCCGTCTCCTCCTTCCGACTCTGACTTCCCACCCCCTCCACCCGAAATAGAGCTGCCTCTGCCCCCTATTGAGATTCCAGCCGTATTCTCGGGAAACACCTCCCCCAAAGTGGCAGTTGTTAACCCTCAGCCACAGCTATGGTCTAAAACATCAGTGAAGAAGGCCCCTCCGCCCACCCGGCCCAAACGAAACGACAGCACCCGCCTCACCCAAGCTGACGTCTCTGAGCAGCCAGCGATGACCACAGTTGTGCCCCAAGTGCCCACCTCCCCCAAATCCAGCCTCAGTGTCCAGCCTGGATTCCTAGCTGATCTTAACAGGACACTGCAGCGCAAGTCTATCACAAGGCATGGCTCCCTCTCCTCCTCACGAATGTCCAGAGCAGAACCCACGGCCACCATGGACGACATGGCGCTACCCCCACCCCCACCAGAACTGCTGTCCGACCAGCAGAAGGCTGGCTTTGGAGGTAGTCATATTTCCGGCTATGCAACATTGCGAAGAGGACCCCCTCCTGCTCCCCCTAAAAGAGACCAGAATACTAAGCTCTCAAGAGACTGGTAGCCACAAGACTTCTTTTCATGTTATCTATAATCAGTTCTACAATCAGTTCACCTGATCATCTGGGAATCCAGGTGTTCAGAGCCTCCTGATGTGTTATTCAGGTAGTGTCCAGCTATGTGTGTGTTTGTGTGTATATGTGCTGTGTGTGTGTACATACATGTGCACACAGCTCTATAGATTGTGTGTATATACACGTATGTATACATCTGTGAATGTGTATATATAGAGAGAACTGATTCTATTTATTCCATTTGCCTCCTAATCAGAAAATGGGGTTTTGTATATTTTGAGTGGAAGGACACATAGGAGGAGATATGTTGTCATTTATAATTTGTTTATCATATGGATTGGACCAAAATCTAGAAGGTATTTCATCAGTGTCTGTCCATGTGCCACCTATCTGTGCATGTTTCTAGAAGGAAGAAATGGATGGGCAGTTTCTCACTTTAAAACTATTGTCCAGATGTTTGGTATAGCTGTAGGCTGTTTTGTTGGGTTTTCCCAGTTGGCTTGACCGACACTTAAATACTCCATGGAAAGGGCACTTTCGATCAGGAAAACCTTCATGCTACAGACCGGGTAACTAGAGCAGGAAGGGCCAATCCTGAGGACACTGTGGTTGGACGTGGGGAACGTCACGGCTCTTCTAGCTGCAGTAGGCCTGCCGGGACCCAGCCACACCTGCAATGGCTTCACAGGTCAGCTTTTTGCCTACAACACAACAAATATTTAATGCTGTAATTCTAATCCTGGCCACTTTCAGTACTGTCTTAAGTAGCCTCATCAACTTGGCTTCATGAGCCTTGCTTTATTGTGAGAACATCCAGTACACACTGTAATGTACCACCCCAGTTATTTCTTTGGGTCAGTTACTTTTGCATATAGTATGTACTTTAACAGATATTTGAATCCGTGGATAGTCCAAATATGAAATATACTCCCTGTGCCCAATGCAGTACATCATTTAAAACAAAGTCAACTTCTGCAATGCCTTCTTTACAAGTTGTTCTCTTGGTGAGGAAGAAAAGACAGAACTGGGCTTTTCCTGTCTGTCAGAACTGTCTGTCATTTCAGACAGGATGGCCCTGGACCAGTGTCATTCATCAGGTTGTAATGCAAAGAATCCATTTAAGATATAACGATCATGAACAAAATGAGTCTTCATAATTTCACCCATAGCTACTGGAGCTGCTAAGATCTTTGCTGTTTACAGCTGGAGTGTAGAGATTTTACAGGTGGCCAGGTGTTCTGATGGAGCAGTGTCCCAGTCCAGTGACAGTGACAGTAGCATATGCATGTACCGTTGGGCAAAACTTAGGAGCACTACTCTGATGACACTACTGTGCTTAATTTTTTTCTTGGTACATGAGAAAAGTATGTGCTTGTCAACTTACAGTGATAGGTTGATGGGACTAAAATGCAGTCTTAGCTATTTTTAAGTAAGAGAATAAAAACTGGCCATCCCACCAATTACAAATGAACACATCTTGTAAAGAGAGTCTGTGCCTACTATAAAGATAACCAGTGCTAAATGCAGATATCTTCTGGTCCAGTCCCTCAAGCAGAAAATAACTCCAGCGAATCTGGGTAGAGAAGATAAACAATTGTTGAATATAGTCTCAGTACTGTGTGCCAAGTTTCACTACAATACTCTCCAATAAGGAACTGTATCATAAAGATGTGTAAGTGGTACCGCCCATCACATCTGCAGCCATTCGTCACTACAGCCATGAAGTTGGTGGGGGGGGGGGGGATGACTGTAAGTCATTGTGCTTTTTAAAAACCCAACTTAAAGATACTTTTTGGATCTTTCAAATTGTTCACCAAGTATTTATGTGCTTGCTATTCTTATGATTATGAAATGACCTTTAATCTACCTGCACTGTGAGTTTCAACATGCACAACAGACGTAGCTAATCTGAGCACAGATGCTAAGCCACACTGAAGTACTTCCTCATGCTCATCAACCTGCAGCTCTACATTCAATCTACAACAAACCGAGTGTGGATCCAGTGACCTCTGGTGCTTATCTCCGGGGGTGTTTTTGTTTTCTTTTTAAATTAAGCCAGGTAGACAATTTAAGGCTTCCTTGAGTGGAAAAATACATACCTCCAATCTAGACTGAGCCCTAAATCAACAACTTTGATTTCTTCAGGGTTGACTTCAGGGAAATCTTAGGTCCATCCCCAGCCACTGCTCCTGGTTTTGTTTTCGAGGGAGAACAGATATCTTTGAACACTAGTAATGTTCAGAAAATGAGAGGGGGGTCAACTGTCCATTTCTGACTCCTCCTGTGACAGATGCAGTTTCTTTATATTTCTCCAAAGACAGAGATAGCTGTTAATTTAAAAAAACAAAAACAAAACACCAAAGTGACACATTGCCATCTTCCTTTCACTGCCCAGTGTGGGGAGGCTCTGCTGAGGTGTAGCTTCAGTCTTGCTCTGGTGGGTTCATGGACAAGACCTGCTGCCCGCTGACGCCAGTTCTGACGCCTTCACTGCC